AAGAGAAACTACTGTTTGCACTACCTTTTTCTCTGGGTGTGAAAAAAATGCTTTTTAAATTGGAAAATACTGGATAAATGAGTGATTTTGGCACCTCTGTCGGCTCAGACTTTGCCTGGTTTACTGTCTGGGGAGTGTTCTTAACCATGCAAACTCTATATGAAAATGGTGTTGGGATATGGGTTGTTTTGATTAAACTGTCAGGGCATCAGAATTGTTGACATAACTTAAAAGGTGTCATACCTGCCTCTAATGGCAGTAACTAATATTTGACTTATACTTGAAAGAATTGATTGACTGAATACTGCTATTTTTGGTTATAGTAACAGGCTTTCCCCCCCTCCCCTAAATGTCACCTTAACAGCAGTGCTATCAAACTCGGAAACAGGGGCCATTAAACCATACATAAGGATCCCTCCCATCTGCATGTTGGCTTAGGAAACCACATATTAACATTATCTATGGTTTATTGTATTTTTGCTCAAAAATTCCCAATTACATTTTAACTTGGTTCCATGTTTGACACCTCTGAATCTACATTCAGGTGGCTAACAACAAGCTGGGCTTAGAGTCAGGAAAGCCTGGGTTTAAATCTGGCCTCAGACACTTAACTAGCTGTGTGATCCTGGGCAGGTCACTTTACCTGTATCTTATCAGTCTCCTTTTTTGTAAAATAGCACCTACTATCTGAATTTGTAAGCATAAAGCACCTTGTAGACTTTACCATAGAAGTGTGAGTGATTATACAGACTTAATTGCCTTGATTTGATCTGGATACGCCAGGAGTGGTTAAGTTCATTCTGTGTAGATGAGAGTGAGGAGGCACCTCCTTGTAGAAAGCCTGTGAATTAATGGAAAGGTTTGACTATATCAAGAGCTGATGAGTGACTGAAAGAGAGGCAGTCAGTCTTGTGGAAGTGCCCTTGCCAGGCCAAGAGTTAGAAGGGTTAACTGGAATTGTTCATGGTTGTTGGTATTTCTCTTCACAGCCCTTCCCATGGGGAGATGGAAACCATACTCTGTTTCATAACCATCACACCAATCCTCTCCCAACCGGGTATGAGGAAGACTAAAGAAAACTTGGACCACACTAATCAAGCACTGGGGGACCACAGCAGCAGTTGGACCATCCTTTTCTTTCTATGTGGAACAGAAAATTACATGGGACCTTAAGTTCACTTGCATCACAATAGTGACAAATATGCTGAGCTTTTATCATTTTGCTTGTGATTGGGATGGCTTAAATAAATAATTCTCACCCTAGACTATGGTGAATTGTTGAATTCTGTCTTAAATACTCATGTTCATCAAACTAATACCCACATGGTGTTTTCTGAGCATTAATTAGGTGGCCTAGCCAAGTTTCAGGACATAGTTTATCATCAGTAGGACATCAGCCTCAGAAGAGCTGCTGTTCCGTGCTGCTTAGCTCATGACAGGGATGTCATGAGTGAGAAATCTTTTCTCCCTCATACCACCTTATGGATGCCCCTGATACAGCTTGGAGGCTGAGGCAGTGGGGTAATGAAATTGCTAAGGAGCACAAAGCATGCAGAAATCAGTGTCTGCAAAGCTGTCTGGATGCCCACCTGACTATCTCATCTCCATCGAAGTTATATAAAGAGCACATTCTAATCTAAGGAAAATAATTTTTCAATTTAAATTCACGGGTATTATTTTCTCTACCCTACCTCCCTGCCCATTTTTTCCTGAAAAACTGCACTTTGAATTTATCATCAGGGACAAACTAATGATTTTTGAGAAGTTCTGAAGATGGGTTTGGTAGAGGGATATAGCCTAGCACAAATACAATCTTCTATAAATCATTGCTTTATGAGGCAACTCATACCTGCATAGTGACTAGAGATGGGCCTGGAGTCAGGAAAACCTTTGTTCAGATCTGGCTTTAGACGTTTACTAGATGTGTGACCCTGGGCAAGTCACATAAATTTTTATGTCTCAGTTTCCTCACCTATAAATGAGATAACAGTGATAGTAAAAAGCACCTACCGGCTAAGTCCCCGCTCACCCTCTTATGACTTTCAATGTGAGTTTTGTGGTATGAAACCAAAGTGATATATTATAAATCCACATCTGTTTTCTATTTAAATTGGTAAGGTGAAAAGACCATGTTAGCTAGACTGACTACATTAAGATAACAGTGCTGGAATAGAGTCAGAAGACCCAAGTTCAGATGTCACCAGATACTGGCTTCGTGAACCTGAACAAGGCACTTAAAGTAGCACCTGCCTCGCGGTGTTATGAGAACCAATGAAATAAAACTTCAGTCGCTTTGCAGACCTTAAACAGATAGGCTGTTGTAATCCTCTCCCTAAACCTTGGTATTTCTACTCACTTCAGTTCACCAAGGGTGATGTTTAAAAGCATTTGAAGCACTGTTAATTTCGAGGAACCTGAAAATGTTATGACCCTCTTTTAAATCTTCAGTCTTATTAAACATAAAAATGACTGTGTATTAAAAGTATTTAATTCCCAAGATACACATAAGATTTACGGTAAGAATCTTAAATTCAAGTGACAGTGTTTAATTGGTGAGCTGTGTTATGGTACAGTCTGTGCTCACCAACTCCTCAGATGGTGCACCTCTATCTTGAGTAGCCAAAATAGGAATTTTTTCTCCCCGAAGAGAAACTCATCTTTCCTACTGATAAGTCATGGAAATAATGAGATCTGGATTCTAATCCCATCAGGAGGTAATCTGTTTCAAGACTACCCTATATCACAGGCATGTTGGAGATGAGCAGCCCATAAAAAGTGCTGTGAGGTCGGTGAGAAAGTAAACCATAAACCAAAGTGCAGTTATTTATTCCATCTCTGATTTCAAATGTTACAGAACATGATGGACAAATAAGGCAAATAAAGCAAACTATTCCCTTCATCCCAATTAACCTTGTGTAAGTGTCAGGGTATTCAAGAGGCCTTGTAAACAACCCTCTTCCACCAACCCACTCTGGATAACAGACTATCCAGTGTCTATAGCTCAGCTGTGAGAGGTGCCTTTTCCATCAGAACAGTTTTTTATAGTCACTATTAGCATTCATGAAACAGCCTGAGAATCAGGAAAATCATATTTCTGCATATTTTTGTACCTTCATAGCTAAATTGACAAGATTTACAGGAAACTAGGAGTACCTTAATTTGTGTGCTTGCTACCAAACTTTGGGAGCTCAAAGCAGTCTCTTAGAAGCGTTCAAGAACTTCTGGTTATTTTTTATTCCATCCAAATCCTCTTCTTAAAAGCTGGCAGTTGTCTCTTAAAGGCCAATCCCTTTTTGGCCAGCTCCACACCTTTAACCATTATTCAGTCTTTATCCAAACAAAATGGTTGCCATTTAAATACTGGAGTCACTCCCAGAGCATCAGAGGTGTGCTTCCAGGAAAAAAAACAAAACTTTAATATTTAGCAGCTTGGATTCAACAACTTAGACATCCTGACTCAGGAATATAGGTATGGATAAACCACATTATAAACGTGGCAGACTGAGTAACATTCTGATCATCTGAAGAATTGTTCTCTTATGCCATGTTTGGTACTGCAAGATTGCACACCAGCTAATTGTCATCCATCACCTGAAAGCAAACAATAAAGGGTCTATATGACCCTTTTGTAAAGAAACTTAAGGGAACCCTTCTCTAAAAAGCTTGTAAAACAGCGATTATCTTCAGACACCACAGTCTTTTTGATGTCTTAATGTTTGTAGGTGAAAAGGTCATCTTGAAGGCTGCTGTCAAGGTCAAGAGCTTTCAGACTTGTCTTTGCTATGGCCCATGAACTCCAGCCCTTCAATAGGAATCTCCTTCTCCTTGATAGCTTTCTGTGGATTGAGAAATTACATTTTAATTAACATCCACACAGGTTCCTGCTGTCAAAGCTATGTATATAAGGTAAGACGTTAGAGAAAGGAGTATCTTAAGAACCTAAAGCACTAATGTGACTGGCCTAGGAATCAGACTAATTGGATTGAAGTCCCAATATGACCATTTAGCTCTCTTGCCTCTCACTCAAACCTCCCTTTTCTCATAGTAAAAAGAACAAAGTTGGACTAGATTATCTCTGTTCCTTTCATCTCTAATATTCTGTGATTCTTCTGTAACTCCAATCCCTTACCCAAAATTAAAGTTCAATGTAGCAAGTGATTCATTAAGCAGTTTCTGTGTACAGAGCGCTGGGAAGATGAAATAAAACGTGACCTTGTCTTTAGTGAGCATATAGGAAGCTTTAGACTGGTAACAGCCTCCTCATCCAGAACTCACAGAGGACCTCATTACTACACTTTCGAATATACTTGGTGCAATTTTTGCTACTATAGCAAACTTGCGTGTCCTTTCTTTCCAATGCCTAACTCAGTCTTCTAGAGGCACACAGTAGGTGTTTCACAGCACTGTATCCACAATACAAAATAGGATCCTGGTGGTTAGAAGAAATCTAACAGTTGTGTGAAAATCAGGGAAAACGAGGCCAATGCCTGCACACGATCTCCGGAGTGCAGGAAGGAATATGGAACAAAACGGGGTCGGCGCCTAGGAGGCGGGGAAGGGGAGGAAGGGGAGCAGCGAGTGCCCTGGGGCGTCGCCCCTGACCCGCGCCTCCAGGGTGAGGGTGGACGAGTCCGGCCGGCAGGGACGCAGCCCCTGCAAAGGGCGCCGGCCCGGGGGTCATGGCTGGGCGTCCGGAGGGGCTTTGGAGAACTTTGCCCAACGCGCCCCGCCCCCCGTATCCCAGGAGGGGGAAACTGGGGCCCAGTGGCCCAAGGTCACGCCGCGCCCACGCCTCCTGGGGCTGCCCCTCCCCCCGGGAGGCGCGGAGCGGGGCCGGGGGCGCTCACCTGCACGCACTGCTGGTAGCGCTTAAAGAGGTCGGTGCAGGGGTCCCCGGAGCCGTCGCCCTTGAGGAACTTCTCGGCGAACCAGCGGTTGAAGCACTGGTCGTACTCGCGCTTCATGTCGGTGCAGGCCTCTCCCACGCTGTTCATGGCGACCAGCCCCACGATGGAAAGGGGCTACGGCGCGCTGTCTACGTCATTCGCGGCGCGCCGCTTACGTCACCCCGGAGCGCCCGTTTCTCGCTCGCGGTGAAGCCTGTGGCCCGGGGCTGGGCGGAGGAGCGGAGATGTGGCGTCGGACGTTCCGAGCGACGCTGCGGGCAGGGCTGGGCCCCGGCGCGACGGGTGCGGTAGCGGGGGCGCCGGGAGCACGAGTCGGGAGCTGCCGGTTTGCAGGGAGTGACTCGGAGAAGGCCGCGGGCCCCAGCCCAGGCGGCCGCGTGAGCGCCGAGCTGATCGAGCACCTGGAGCGCCTGGCCTTGGTGGATTTCCGAAACCGCGAGGGCGTGGCGCGGCTGCAGGCGGCCATCGAGTTTGCGGGGCAGCTCCGCGCCGTGGACACGGACGGCGTGGAGCCCATGGAGTCGGTGCTGGAAGACCGGTAGGTCCGTCCTCCCTCCGGGCGCGCTCCGTGGGGACCCCTGGGGAAAGGGTGTGGGAGTCACGGCCCCTAAAACGATCCTCCCATGGAGCGGAGTGGGCGTGCCTCCCGAGTCTGCAGGAGGCCGAATTTTGGATTAAATTTTACCAATTTAATCATTCTTTCCCTTCCCCTCGAAAAGTGCGAAAATGTGGCTCAAGGCGATTCGGTTCATCTAACTGGTTAGTAGTGTTGCGCTTTTCATCTGCCAGTTTGGGTGTCACAACTTTTAGAACAGCCCTGAGGCCCCATGAGACCAGACCCAGGGCTGGGAGGCACCTCCAAGGTCACTTTAGTCCCCTCCCTCATGGAGACCATCTTAGTAAGGAGCATCCGTATGCAGGCCCCCCAAAGGCAGAGCTAGGGCCACAAGCCACAGGATCTGTGTCCTTCGCACCTACCCACGGGTGTGTGTGGGGGGGTCTTCTCCCCCTGTCTGAGGAGCGCGCTTCTCGTCTGTTATAGGTGCCTGTACCTGAGAGCGGATGAGGTGGTAGAAGGCAGCTGTGCGGAAGACCTGCTACAGAACTCTCAGCAGACTGTCGAGGAGTATTTTGTGGCCCCCCTAGGTAGATGCTACACTGAGGTGCGGGGCAGTCATGCTGTAGCTAGCTGAGGGGGAATTAAAAGTGATCCTCAGAGTACAAAGCGCTGAATGCAGGGTGTGCTGGCCACTTCGTTGTTGATGGCTGCTAAACATTTGTAAATGTCCTCGACCCCCACGACTCCAGCAGGCCATTTTTCAATTGCAATTGTACGTTTTGGACTTTGAGCTTCATACTGTGTTGTATGCTCACCCTTCTCTGACATAAATGGGTTGGAACCCGTGGACCACTGGGCCACTTTGTGCCCAGCTTAGTTACCAGTCCAGGAGGATACAGCACTTCCCCTCATCCACGTTACCCACTTACTGAAGGGGATTCCTGATGGATCAGGAAATCCCAATTTGGTGTAGATGCTCAGGGGTGCCTCTGGTTCTGTAAACTACATAATCTTACCCAAGTAGTTGCTGGAATGCAGGAAGAATACCCCTGAGCCGTATAAAAACAAAAGCAAAACCCCACCAATCTAAACTAAGCCAAGTAAGTAGCTTTCATTCCCCCCCCCCACTGCTCAGAGGTGCATATCTGCAGCATTTCAAGTTGGAATTACTGTGGTGCGGATGCTGCTTCTGCCAATGCAGGCTGCAACCCCCACTGATTGAGGATGTCAGTTAACTCCATGAGGATGGACACTCCTTTCCCTCATGTACAAATTTCCTAACAAATGTACAGAAAATCTGATAGAAATTCAGGTATTCCTAGCTGAGAAAGCAGGGTGATGGCTACATTTGTTTTCATGGGACACCAACTAGCTTCTGAAGCAAGGAAAAAAGTTAGCAGGCTTAGCTATAATTCTCTCCTTTTTTGGTTTTAAACAGGTAACATCACTCTGCCAAAACAAAGTGAACAACATCCAGTCCTGAAGAGTTAAATGATGCTCTGAGGAATGGTGCTCACAACAGGAAACAGTGTGGAGGACACTTGGGAAAGACAAAGCTGAAAAAGCTCCCGTGAACTTCCTCCACATAATTGGGCCCTGACCCTTTTTCTCCTTTCCCCCTGCTCTCTCCAGAAGACTGGGTGAAGATGGAGAACTCTCAAGTGAGCTCCTGTTGCCTCTAACAGAAGTCAAGGAAGGGTACTGTGGACTTGGAGAAAAGCTTCCCAGGAATGAATGGAGTATTCACTTAATACCTGAGTCACATGCTGGAAGTGTCCTGTGGTTAACTTGTAAAATCACCTTTGGTTCAGTTTCTGGCACACGATTAAATAGAGTAAGTTTCTAACCAAAGTGTACTTTTGCCCAATAATTTATTTCTTCCTGATCACAGGACTAGATGCAATCTGAATTATTCCTATGTCCTCCCTCACTATTCCTAGACTCTTCTTTTATCAACGATTTCCTCTACAGCCAAAGCCTCCATTCAAAGAAAAACTGAGACTGAAAAGGGTAGCACAGGGTTTCATCTAAGGCTAAACCCTCATCAACTCAACTTTCTTTTCCTTTCTTCCAATATAGTGCTCCATTCAAGCCCCTTCTGGCCACTGAGAAGCTTTGTCCATGTAACTTCTCTTATTCTTTTAATCCTACATCTGCCTGGTACAGAAAAATGAACTTACATAATTAAAATAACAACAACTTGTAAATTATTAAACTTTAGAAATATATTTCTAAACAGAATGGGCTGATTCCTATATATAGTGTCTGTGCGGAGTAACCCACCATGACACAGCATTGATTTTTCTCCATAATTGGGGGAAGGGGAAATACACAACTTGCTTCTAAACCAAAACCACAATTTCAGCAGTTAAAAACATTTCACTGCCAATATGGCCCTGGTAGAAATTGTACATATGTAGTTGTGTTGTATGTAGTTTTTCCTTTTAAAAAAAAGTTATTAAAAAAAATTCCTAAGACACTAAGTCAATTTGGAATGTAGACTCCGAGCAGAGAGTAACTCAGTTCACACTAAAAAAAAAAAACAAAAAAAGAACAACAAAAAAACCCATAAGCGGTTTCAATATGGTGCAAAGGGAGAGGTGTAGTATGGGGAGCCCCTGCTTTGGTATGGAGAATCTCGGCCCCTTGACCCTGACCGGGACCGGGAGTAGCCATAGCTGGTGCTTCTTTCTGGATAAACTCTGATATAGGAAGTTTCACCCTGAAATTCAAACAAAAGGAAGGAAAAAAAGTGAGGGATGAAGAAGGGGGGTAGGAGAAGGAGAACAAGGATTTATATCCAGCCTATTCTGAGTAGATAAAAAGGGCCTTTAAGTGGAAGAAGCTCCAATTGTCATCCTAAACTTAAGCAGAAGATTCATGATTCCAACTTCACTTACAGCTGTGGCCACCTTGCTCTCGACGTTTAAGGTGGCTTGGGCAATGGCGTCAGACCATCCTAGCCCCAAATATTTTTATCAGTTGCCAGGTGAGGTAAACTACTTTTAAGGAAGGAAGAAAAAAAAAAGAAAGAAAAAGCAGTAACTGGGAACACAGGACCTTTAAGCAGTTATTTGAAGGGAATCAGGACAATGGGAAGGAAGATTCAAGAGGTCTCTCTCTAGGTTCCCAAGGTAACAAGAAGCCAACAGCTTGTGGTTTTAGTCATTCCTTACAGAAAGGAATTTCACTCACAAATTACCAGGCACATAAAGGGACAGTAGCCATGACAAGATAGCTTGTGTTTATAAGAGGCCTGGGATGCAAAATCCTTAAGCCACTTCAAGAAAGCAACTACAATGAGATTTCTGAATTTGTGAGAGCTCACGTTCAGCCACTAGAAGCCTAATCCAGAAAAGCTCCCTTAAAGGAAGGGCTGGTAGGTGGGGAAGAGGTAGCTCCCTCATGCTAAGCTACTTGCTGATTCTCTCCAGGCACTATAGAGGACCACTGCTAGGACTCTGTAAGACGTGGGCACGTAGGAGGTTGGCTTGTCCACTTGAGGAGATTTCTTACTGTTACTCTGAAGATTATTTAACAAGCTATCTACCAGCCTTTTGTGCAGAGAGGACAGCTACAGGCCCAAGTGCCATGAGATTATAGAAGATCTTCCACAAAAGGTGGGAACCCACCTCGTGAGAACGGAATTTGGAGTCGTCCAGTCTACGCAGGGCGTATTCCATATCTTCCTTGCGGAGGAACTCAACTACCCCCATGCCATCTTTCTGCACATCTGCATAACATACACCCCCAGCTTCTCGCATGTGATCCTTCAAATCCTGCCAGCTGCCTGAGGGAGGAAGGCCTGGGCATGGAGAACACAAAACAAGATAGCGTGTGAAAGGTCTCAACATTCCAGATGGGCCAGGGCTCCTCCCCCACATCTAGTCCAGTGACAGGCTCTGTCACTGCTCAGTCCTGACAGTCCCAAAGTCTTAAAACTTTCATAAGTCATAAAGGGGCTCCAGAGACACTGACCGCAAGGCATGTACTGTATGCCATTCCAGAGAGCTAGTCCTATGCCAGTCTTCAAGAGAGAGAGGACTTATCTTTGCCTGTAGTTAGAGCAAGAAGCCAGTCCTGTGTAGTCCCGAGAATTCAGTTAATTTGTTCTGTTGTTTCCAGGTCCTTCAAAAACAGTCCCGTGGCTTTTGATTCCCCTGATTTGAAATTTACTTGTTAACAACCTTACCTGCCCCTCACAGAGTACATCACCAATACTGTTCCCCAAAGCATTAGGACAGGAATTTAGGGGCAGGAATTTGGACTCCAGCCAATGAAAAAACTTACGCGTGAATGGTGGTGAATTGCTCTAGGGTGGTGTGGATGACTGACACACTCATTCTCTTAAGGACCAGATTAAGACCTGAATGCTAAAACAAGACTGAAACCACTTTCCCACCCTGGGGTTTCATGTGATTCAGTTTAATTCCTCTCTTGAAAGGAACCAGGCTCTTGTATGCATTTTAGTCAGGTCCAGGGTCACAGGAAAGTCATACCTGGAGACACAAAGAAGATCCAGGGTTCTTACTGTCATTCTTCTGAGCACTGATCGACGCACAGACCTTTGGCATTAGAATTGGTTATCTGTCATGAGTTACCAGAGCACATGCCGTGTTTGGTGGATCCCTTTTAAAACTTGGAAAAGCAGTCTGGGACTCCAATCTACGAATCCCAGCATAACCACCTTCTTCCAGGGTCCAAGGCTAGAAAGCTAGTTGTCTGGCCAGAGAGGGCTGTTTGGATTGCTTTCTAGCTAACTTTACACTAGTGTGAATTCCACAGAAGAGAAGATCATCCGAGAATCTTTTCAAACGATAGGAACTCTTTTATGGGAGGCTGCTGCATGTTACGTTCTACAGGGGTATTAACCCTTCTCCTGTAACAACAGCACCACTTCATCTTCATGACACATGCATCCCTGGCAGGGCCGTGCACTGGAGCAGCACTAGCCAAAGTTAATGCTCAGTGTATCACCGGCCTAGACAGTCTGAAGTGTTCAGAATGACATACCTGAGACAAGGACTCGAAATTCAGATCTTCGTGACGGTGGTCCAGTCCTCCCACGAGGGCCTCCGCCCCCAGGATTCCTGGGTAACTCCACACGAAGCCGGCACTGGCCATAATCATAGCCATTCCTTCCATAAATAGCATCTTCTGCATCCCTGCAAATAAGAGCTAGTAGTTATTGCTGTTCAAGCAGCAGATTCTGTCCTTTCCGTGAGATGTAAGTCGATGGGGGTGTCCAGGCATGAAGATGGAAGATGTCCGGTCTTGATTAACTAATGCTTTTTGGCTTCAAGGGCCAAGAAGCTGTCCCTCTTACTTTACTGAGGCTGTCAGATGTTTGTTCCCTCTTCATCTCAGAATCTCTCAACATCTACCCCCACTCCCTCCTTTCCCCTCATTTTCTGACAGATGGCCCTTTTCCTTGTCGAGGCCAACCTGTCAATCCCGTCCATTTGTATTCTCCAGCAAACTAAACCTTAAATTGTCCCCTCTCTCAAATCTTCAACCGCTTCCTAGCTATTGGTTCCTTCCCTTCTCCCTTTAAATATGCCCAAGTCTCCTCCATGCTTAAAAACTATCACCATGCCTCCACTTCATCACTCCCAAAACCTTTGCAATTTGGCTTCTAATTCCATTACTCGACTAAAACTAGGCTCTCTGAAAGTTATCTTGCTTTCTTAACTGCCAAATCTGATAGTCTTCTTCAAGCCCATCCTTTTTGACCATCTGCTGGCCTTTGCACTGTTCTCCCTAGAGGCTCTCTCCTCCCTTAGCTCCTACTGCACTAATGTCTCCTGGTTCTCCCACCTGTGTCTATTCCTCCTCTACTTTCTAGCTTATCTATATCATGCCCTATAGCTGTAGATGTTCCCCAAATTCAGTCTTATAGGGACCTCCTCTCCCCCTACAACTCAGATAGACAGATTCAGTACCAAGCTTCAGTGATTAAAGGTGATGTGGGGCTGAAATATAGCCCTACCAATCATTTAAAACTGGATATCTCAGACTTAACACGTTATAAAACTGAAGCCACCATCTTTCCTTCTAAATCCTATCAAAGGCCCCATTATCCTCCCAGGTCTTTAACCTCAGCATTATCCTTGACTTCTCACTCACCTTCACCCCACATAGCCAATCAGTTGCCATATATTTGTTTCTACTTACACAGTGACTCCCATCTGACTACCTTAGTTTACACCCCCACCATCTTTCAACTAGACTATTGCAATGGCTTCCTCCTTGGTCTCCAAGTTTCAAGGCCAACTTCCACACTACGGCCAAAATGATTTTCCTTAAGTACAGATCTGACCACATCCCTCTCCAACTATTCAATCAACTCCAGCTGTTCCCTGTTGCCCGTAGAGTAAGAGATGAACTCCACTGTTCATAGCTTGTATAGACCTTCACTCATCTTCACTCCAATCTCATCAAATACTCCTCTCATACTCTTTGATACAGATCCTCAGCCACTCCATCATCCTTGTGTCCCCACACAAACACAAAATCATAACCTCTCCTTATCTCTCCCTCACAGATTCCCTCTCCTCCTTTGGGACACTGCTCAAGCTCCCATCTACATGAAATCTTTCCTAATCCCCTACATGGCTATTGTACTCCCTCCCAAATTACCTCGTCTTTAATTACTTTGGTACACTTAATGGAGAGCTGGTGTCAAAGCCAGCAAGACTTGCCTTCCTCTGATATATATCTTGGATGTGTGACCTTTAACCTGGTAGAGTGGTCTGGGCAGCTTTCTAAGACAGCTGGCTACAGAGAACACAGTACTAACCTGCACTGGTAAAGGGAGTCTCCTTACCCAAGAAGTTCCCTCTGCTAAAGCA